GTTTTAAAATTTTCTTCGTATACTATATACCATCTAATATTTTAATAATTCGTCCACCAACTATTTCTTGAATATCGACCGATATTAAAACTTCTGAACAGAAACCATTTCTGAACCTGATTTTCGTGCCAGTTTCCTTATTACCTTCTTTGTTCGTAAAAGTAATTTTATCTTTAGCTGGTATGGGTTGGAAGAACATCTGGTAGGATATTCAATCCAGACTTTTAAAATAGCCGTTCTAGGTCTGAATTTCTGCTCATTAAAGAGCTTAACAAATTCTTTATTTTCTTCTTGTAGAAATGGTCTACCACTTTCCGCTCTCGGATATTCGCTATCTAAATCCGACATGGCGGAATCGTACAAACCGTTAGCATCAAAGGCCATTAGTTTAGTACATTTTATTTTTTTAAGTCTCGAATGAACCTCCATATTATCTTTTTTACTTTTACTATATTCTTTAAATAAATCAATTATATTACTACTTGGTTTTTCACTGTATTCACTTAATACATTACAATTTTCATCCATTTTATATGATAAAATATCTTATAAAAGGGTGTGTATGTGAGTAAACTTTTTCTACGTTTTCTTTTTCGGTGTGTTTTGGAACCATTCTGGTAGTTTCATACCATTCTTCTTCAACCATTTCTTTATGTTAATGAAATAAATAATACCAACCCTTTAAAGATAAAGAAGAGGCCGTTAGATTAGTGGAAATATTCTGGAATACAATTTCTTTCATAACTTTGTTATATTTTATCAAACAAGCTCATAGACATAACTATCTCTTTTAGTGTAAGGTTCCCATTCGTGTCTTAAAGATTCCAAATTATCTTCTGTGTATTTTGCAATATTAATATCGGTGATCTTTCTCAAATTCATCGGTAGATTAGATGAATTTCCCCATGCCGCCAAACTAGATTTTTCATGTTGATAGGAACATATGAAATTAATATTTTGCATATAATTAGATTTCGGGGAAGGGAGGGTTTGATTCTCCCAAATGTACAGGCCTAGGGTGGAGCAGACACTTTATTTAGAAATTAGGATTAAGGGTCTTGATATTGGGTTTTCTTCTGTTCTTATTCTGATCTGAAATTAGAAGAAATAACTCGCCCGATAGGCGAGAAGAATAGTATCTGTTATTTACTGATTGTTTTTAGTTTACTATGAACAATATTATCATTTAAGTTCTTATTTTTTGAATATGCAACTATCATTTTCTGCTTATAGACATGGGGGAATTTCTCTTGAAGGCTCTTATAGTGGGCATGAACTATCTTGCTTGCTCGATTGCTGGTTGTATTAAACGGGACAACAAAGGGTGCTATGCCTACATTATGATGAATATTTAGTCCTATAGGTCTTGCTGTATTCAATGTCTCAATCCAATGGGAGTAGTAAATGTCTTTCGGATATGACGCATTTCACTTCTGCGCATGCGCAGCTTTTTCAATGCGTCATATCCGAAAAGACACAACTGTTAAAATGTATTATAACAGACTCCCCAAACTGTTAAAAATGTATTATAACAGACTCCCCAAACTGTATTATAACAGACTCCATATAAATTACCCAAACCACAGACAAGAATCACTAATAATAATACAGTATAAAATAACCGCATTAAAAATGTCTTTAATTTTAAAACACGAAAAAAAAAAATTCGAAGGAGACGGTTTCTTCTCTGCGCTAACATCTCTCATCCCTAAAGTGGCCAATTTTGTCTCAAACAACAAATCCCTCATTTCCTCAGAAGCGCAAGCTCTTGGATCTGTGGCAAAAGCAGGAGTAAATATGAGCGATGCAGTGAAAAATCTGACGAACTGCAGCTAATAAGAGAACTAAGAAACAAGAGACTAGAACGACAAGTCCTAGAAAAACAAGGAAAAGGGTTTAAAATCATTGGATAAAAATGGCAAGCAAAAATTACAGATTGGATCCAATCTTTCAATTGTATGATCCGATTCAATATTCGTTCAACAAGAAGAAAGAGGATTACGTAATCGTCTCACCATCGGTAGGGACAAAGACCCAAATAAACGACGGAGGAAGAGTTACCTTTGAAATCAATTCGTTGTCCAATTGGTTGCTGCTTTCCGATGCCCATTTCCGATGCGATTTCAAAATCAAAGACGCCACTCAGAATCGAATTCCACAAACCAATACGACTTTAGAAAACAACTTCTTTCCGTCTTTATTCAGCGAAATGGTTTTGGAAGCTGGTTCAAATCCTATAGAGACCATAAAACACCCCGGCGAGTTTGACACAATGTTGAAAACGGTTCTGTATCCCAAAAACTACGATTCAGTTTGGGGATGGAATCCCGATGTCGGTGACGGAGAAGTTTTAAAAGAACCGGTCAGAACTGTAGCAAATGACGCAGACCTTGCTAGGATAAGGGTAGTTGCTAGAAACACACTGGAAAGAGTGACTCGCGGAGTAAATCACGGATTTGAAAAACGAGCGCTTCAATACAACAACGCTGTCGAGAACAACAGATGGGGTAATTACGTAAATTGGAAGTTGTATCCTTTATTTGGTCTTTTGGAACACAGAAAGGTTTCCATAGGTTTACCGTATAAAATTCATTTGCAAAGAGAAATCAACGACAACAAGATATTCTTTGGTGAAAACAACTCTGACGCAAAATTGGAAATAACGAATATCCAACTTTACATACCGGTAATCACTCCTTCCGTAGAAGTGGAAACGAGAATATTCAACTCTTTAACCAAAAACATCGAAATTGCTTTTCTTCGTCGTAACACGGTAGGTAGCATGACTTTAACGGGAGAATCCACCACGTGGCCAATTACCAACACCGTCAAACCAGCGAGATATCTAATGGTCGGTTTCAAAAACTTGCCAGA